TTCCTCTTCCCTAAAAGCATCTCTTACTTTTACTGGTGCATGTGGAGAAAAAGCTTGTGTCTGCCCAGGCATGAGACAGGAACAAATCTAATTATTTAGTGGTGTAATATTTTCTTCTTTTTCTATTCCCCTGCAAATGTAGGACCAAATTAAGAGCTGGTCTAAAATGGTTGAGATGCTGCGCACAAAGGAATTATTGCCATCTTTGTCACTTCTGAATATTATCCAGGGACCAGTTTCATGAAACAAATTAAAGACTTTGTGTGTGTTAGCAGTAGTGTAGAATAAAAAAAATCTGTGGTTTAGTCCAGACTGCTCATCAGGAGGTGACATTTATACAACAATCTTCCAGTAGGTGTGTTATGTTTTACTAGAAGCCAGTTCAAATAAAGCCTCAGTAATTTATAATGGCCTATTCCACAACACTTGCTAAGTTGAAAAGAGGCAACTAATAAAGACATATGAACTTACAGAATCACTTAAGGAGTTAATAACCCTTCCTTTGAGCATATGGGTCTGGCTTTAATAAACTTTAAGTCTGCTTTTTGTTCTTTTAAACAGGAAGGATCTGATATTGAGAAGGGCTGAACACTCAGAATTTCAGCTGCAATTGATGGCGTGTGTTCAGCACCTTGGAAAACCAACCCCTAAATCAATGTCAGTTAAATCTGAGTTGAAATGGGTTGAGTTGAGGGGACTGAAAAAACTATGGGGATTCTTAAGTGGGCATATGGAAACCCTTAAGTCCAATTATTGGTGATAGCCACTTTGGTGTCACCTCCGTGAGGCTGGTGGAAAAATAGGTACAAGTGAATTGAGTCTCTGCTTCTCACTAGCCCCAACCCCTCAACTGGAAATTTTTAAAGTATACTTAACTGGAAATCCAACTTTCTGCTGAAATAAAAAGGAAGAGACATAATTGGACAATTTGTAATAGGAATTCCCAAGGGCAAGCCACTTAATACCAAGTATAAGCAGCAGTGATGGAATTTCTACTTTACTGTCTGCTTAATGGAAAAAAAAAAGCCTAATGGTTGGTACTGTATCATGTTCTTACACAGGAAACATTTAAAACTAAGGAATGGATGGGCAAGAGACCCAGGAGTGCTTTCTCCCAGAACCTCCTCTTTGTAGATGGGCTTGAGACGTGTTTGTGGACTGGGAGTTTATTCTGTTTGTTTTGTGTCTATATTGATCAGGCAAATCCTACAGAATTTTCCATTTCTTGCTTAGATAATTCATGATCTGTCTCCTGTCTCTGGCACTTCTGGGGCCTTGACAAACCAGGAGGTACCTGGCATTGGTGCTACAAAATCCTAAACCCACCTGTCCACTTGTCCATCACCTGTCCTAAAATCATGGAAGGAGTGAGAAAGCTTTCTCCTTGCTCTTGTGTTTTTACCAGTGCAGTCTGGGTTAAAATAAGCCACAGCAAGCAGAGCCAAGCTTGCTCTGATACAAGTGGGATTGGGATTTTACTGATGTGGAAAGGTGGTTTAAGAGACCCAGCCTCCAGACTTTGCTCACAGTTACAGGGCTGATTAGAGCCCATCATGTCAGCTCTTTCAGCTGGGGGACATTGTGTCCCTAGCTGGTGTGTCATGGCAATCCTCAACTTTTCCTGGCCACCACCTGTAGTGAAAAACCTTTTGAAAGGTGGGGAAACATGGTAGACTTGAAGAAACAAGTGTCCTGTGTGCCTCTGGATTCTGAGCAGGCATTGGTTGGGTAACCATGAACCTGTGGTCCTCTGTGACCTCAGGGCTCATTCTATTCAGTTCCTTTTTTATTTCTTTAATAAAACTACTAATCAAAAGAACAACTGTTGTGTTTCAGTCTCCAATCTAAAGTTGAAAATAATGTTGTGAAATTGCCTGCCTAGCCTAGATCTGATTTTGCTGTGTGAGAGGTGATTAAATGTCAAAGAAAAGCTAAGCATATGGTGGTGTTTCAGCAAGAAACAGCCAGGTTTCAGAATCTGAACCAGACAGGAAATACTGGTCTTGACTCACTTTCAAGGTCCTCTCATCTCCTAATTCATGGGAGTTTTTTTTGCTAGTGGCTTTAATGAGAAATACCAGATCCTTATTTAATGGGGATTTCTGAATTTGTGAAATACATACTGTAAGTGTTCCTGTGGCCAGTGAGGGTTCTTCCAACCCTACTTTGTGTCGTAGAGGATGAGGAAGGAAGTTTTTTACCAGACATGTAGGATTATTTCTCAGCAAAAGGGATTCCCCACTCCCACAGTGCCAGCAGAGATTCTCCTCAGGGAATGTCAGCTTGGGGCTCCAACACGTGTGTGCTCCTGCTCCCTGAGATGGCAGAGGGACACAAACAGCCCTGTTTATTTCACCCTGTGGTTCCTGCTGCTCTTGTTCTATTCACTTTCACTGCTGCAGCACTTTCAGGCTCCAGGCATGAACAGGAACCCAAATGTGCCACATTTGCTCTGAAAGCAGAAAAAAAAAAGATAATCCTTCTGAGAGGGGGTTGTGACTGGGGATGTCTCCTGCCAGAAGACAGCAGGGAGCTGGAGATTTTGAAGCAAAGTATGAGGAGGGGTAGCTGACTCCTGCACACTGCCTCTTGAACACCTGGGATCAAAGTGTCCACAATGCTTTTAGGATGCCTTGAGTGTGAAGGGCTTCTGATAGCCTGGACTCGAGGATGTTTGGCCATGCTCTGAGGAGAGGCTGGTCTGGAGCCACTTCTTTGCAAGAAATGAAAAAGTTGGGTAAAGAAATAACTGAGAATTTGTGACAGAGGTTTATAAACCCAAGACTGGCCCAGAGAGAGTGGATGAGGACCAGCTATTCACCATGTACTGGATTTGTCAGAGCTAGTTGAGAAGATAAAGAACAGGAAGAAAGTACTTGAGATCCTCCACTGAAAAGAGGTCAAAACCTTAGTTCTCAGGCAAAATGCTCCTGAAATCTGCTCAGATGGGCTCTGAGCAAGCAGAGTGGGGCTGTTTGTCCTGTCCTTCAGGCTTTGAGACTAGGTCATTCTGGACCTGCTCTGGATTTACAGAACAGCAGCACTGTTTGGCAGCTACCCTGTGAAGGGTGTTTGCTCCTACCAGTGGCAGCTGGAGGCTGGGAGGATGTCAGGAGTCCTTTATCTTCTCTGCTTTCTCTGCCTGTCCTCAAGTAACCAAGGCTACACTAGACAATGGGTACTGGGAGGGACAGGCCTCCACTCTGAACCCTGCAGAACTCTCCTGTTAATTTTGTAAGAATTAAAGAAAGGAAATCTTTGCAGGCAAGGGGTGCAGCAGCCTGGGCTGGTCCTTCCATGGCCCACATTTATCCAGCAGAGTGAGGGGAATTCACCAACAGGATGCTAGTGCTACCCTAATTTGATGAGAAATAGTTTACCTGTGTTTTCTGAAAGTGTGCTACTGTACTTTGGGCAATGCTATGGGAATTGAGAAAATAGATCAATATTCCCCACATAGACTCAAGCCAATCCTTATTGAGATTGATAACTGAGGGAAAGAAAAAAAAAACAAACCAAAAAAAAGCTCTCAGGAAGTACAGATGATTTTGGATGAAGAAATTTTCATTCAGAAGGTCCATTTTAAATGAGAATGTCTCAGTTTACAGTCCCTTCTTCCCCCTCTTCCTTTCATTAGGTTCTCTTCTTTGCCTGCCAGACCCTTGCAGTCCTTCCTCCTGCTTTTCACCCCCATCTACAGACGTTACCCTGCCTGTGCACTGACCACACACAACCTTTATGGGTAGAGAACATCAGCAAATTGGTGAGCACGAGGCAAGAAAAGGGGTTGGAGCGGGGTGGAAAGGACAGGAGGGCTCTGTGAGCTGCCAGCTCTCTGTCAGATGGATCATAGCTGAGCTTGGGGAACCTCGTGGTTTTCAAGCAACACAAAGAGGTCATCACACGTGGTGAGAGTCCAGCACATGTTCTCTCATTTCTGACTACACCACCCCTGAACTATAACACAATCAATAATCCATCTGCTTCTTTGATGATTTTTTCCCTGCCTGAATGCTCAAGACACCTCTGTATTTCTGATCTAGCACTGAACTAGAGCTTCTGGGACCTAACCATGTTGTTACCTCCTTCTAGTGATACAAGTGGACCTGCCTCCCCTAGGGAGGAAACCCAGTTTGCCTCCAGAGCACATCCTTCAAGAGGCAGCACCCAAGGTGCACACACCCACAGACCCATGTCCCTCATGCATGGTGCTTTTTTCCCAAGAGATTGTTAACACTGTGGGGGACAGGGGCCTGCAAAGGAGCTCCTGCCTCTCCCTCTGGTCTCCAGTGTCATTCTCCATCCCAGCAGGACTGAAGACCCAGCCATTCCCACTGGGTTGTTTTCTCGCTGTGCTGGCAGAGAAAGAGCAGCAGGAGTCACCTCCACCTGCAGCCACAGGTCCCCTGCAGGTCCTGTCCTCTGGGACACCTGTTAGGGACCTCTTCAAACATGCCCAAACCGTGGAAGATGCTGCCAAGCCAGCGTGGGACTACAGAGCTCGTGTTCCTGTTTGGAAAGGCCACTCTATGCAGCCGTGCCTCAGCAGAGGGGGACAGACCAGGACACACAGCCAGTGTCAGAGGTGAGGAGGCCCAATGCTGACCCTGCTCAACCACTGGGAATTTTGTCACAGTGGGCTCAGGCTGAAGCCATAAGGGCCCTCATATGGACATCTTACCTGTGGGATCTCAACAGGATGGACAACCCCAGCACAACTGTATTTGTGGGGACACAGTGGAAGGAAGCCTAGATGGCTTTGGGTGGGTTTAGGCATTTATACACTGTGGCCCATCCTGTAAAGGGATTAAAACAAGCAGTTTTTCTTTCTTTCCCTTTTCTCCGTACCGTACAGATTGAGAGTGTAAGGACTCTTGTTTTGCAGATAAGCACTGCTTGTGATTGTAGGAGAGGGGTTTCCCAAAGCAGAATGGAGTAACTGAAATTAAATGGAACGAATACATCAAACCCAAGGTATTTAATAAAATAAAACATCTCTTTTCTGCCCTCTCCCCCCTCCTCCCTTCCCCCCCAGAATCTGGGTTAAAAATACAAAGCTATACATCAGGTCCAAAGGAGAGAAAATTCCTTCTTCTGGGGTACAGAGTAACTTTTCAAAACAATGCAGCCCACTAGACAAAGGTATTTGGGGGATTGGACGGAATAGGCCAGGCAAGCTTTCTTTCCTTGGCTTCTCTGTTAAAAGCATCATAAGTGGAGTCTTTGGTGACACTTTTGGCTGTAGCTGGAATGTCTGCAATACCAACATGATTTTTTTTTGCTATCCTGGAACTGGTAGTGATGGTGTATGCGTTGCTTCTATAGCATTTCATGGCAGACATGCAAAAAGTTTCTTTCATTCCTCTTCTGAAGTTTGCATTATAGATGGAGTAGAGGGTTGGCTTAGAGGCTGAGGAACTGAAAGAGATCCAGGTGATGGCCAGGAAAAGCAAGGAGCTCTTTCTGTAGTCTGTTTCCTCTGGGTGCCACAACTGTACCATGAAGAAAGGCAGCCAGGACAGAAGAAATACCGAGTTTAACATTAAGAACATCTTGATGGTTTTCACTTTTGTTCTTGGAACAATATTTGTTGTTCTCCTGACAGTCATTCCATCCGTGCCTATTCTCCAAATGTACTTAATGACTTTCTGGTAAAAGAGGATAATGAAGAGGGATGGGATCATAAACACCAAGAGGAGGTGGATGATACTGTAGGCAGATCCTTGCCAAGAACTAGGGAGGAAGAAGTTGCAGTGCTGGTCGCTGTTGGAGCCGTAGAGAAAACAGGCCGGCGATGCAAACAGAGCACCACAGAGCCAGGAGACCAGAGTCATTCTCTCTCTTGAACAGCTGTGTATGAAAAGCCCATCTTAACCTACAAAAGAATATTCTCAGTAGCAGAGATATATACTGTGACTTCTGTATTTCTGGGCTAACACTGAATACAGCTTCTGGGTTCCACTGTAGCTGGTGGTACAACAGGCTGTGTCAGGGGGATCCCACCCCATTCCCTGGCTGGTTTGAGGTGGCTGCCAGCCTTTCACACCCTTTCATTTTTTTCCTCACAGCCCATGTGCCATGACCCCAACCCTGCCTTCATGGGGGGAGATGAGAAGGGCGGGACCCCTTGGCCAACACAGAGGGTCCCCAGGTAATCAGAGGCCCCAGAGAAATTTCTGGACCATTACCATGGATGTCCACACACCCTGACCAGACCAGGTTATAGCCCCCTTTTTCATGTGGTTTTCCTTGGAGCAGGATGTCTGTGGTGGGAAGCCCTTCCCTTGGGGCTGGGGTGCTGCCCGAGGAGACTTCCTGGGACTGAGCACCCTCACCACCAGCCCCACACCTCTGGAACAATGACTGTTTTGATCTTGAGTGATCCTTAGACCCTTGTGGACGAGTTGAGCTGAATTTCTGGAGCCCTTCAGTGAGAGGCCTGCGGGGTGTGCACTTTGGGCCCTCCTTCTTGTCCGTGGAGTAACAATGTCCCCGACTGGTGACACCAAACCTATCGCCTGTCAAACGTCACTGCCTGTGAATTCCAGTTTTTCTGGGGGTGTTACCTGTGTGAAATTGTTCTCCTGCACCCTCCTGGCAGACACACCACAGATTGTGACGGGTGTGGCCTCCTGTTCTACGCCTATATTGCTAGATAGTTTTCATTGTTGAGCTTAGCCAGATGGTTGGGTTGGTTTTAGCCTGTCACAGGGATAAAATGGAAAAACATCTAATTTTAGTGGCTATACATATGCAAACACCCTGCTACTGCCTGATGTCCTTTCAGTCATCATCTTGACATGCAAAGCCTTTGACTCACTAGACATACAAAGCCTTTGCTATGGGTGTACTGTGAGAATGCTGAACTCCAGAGCTTGATACTGTGCAAGATAAATCAGGACTCAGTTAATGACCAGAAGATCAAAAAGTTCATCTGAGAAGCCAAATGAACAAGACCAAAACCCCACCACCACCCTCCTCCTTAGCTTTCCAAGTGATCCAGATTCCCAGATTTGGCTTCTGATGGGCTTTTTCCAATGCTTCACTGATGCTTTTTGCTGTGCCTACTCTGACTCTGCATTTACCACCTATTATTTTCTCCTTGTCTTCCTACTCAGAGTGAGGCCTGAAAGCACAGAGCCACAGCATGAATTTGGGATCTTGCCTCTTGTGCTGTTTTGCATGTCTCCTTCAATAATGGAGTGCAAAAAAATTGTCAGATGTTTAAGAAGAAAAGAAGTAATAATTTCTTGGTGTGGTTATAGAAGATTTTTTCCCTCTAGTTTTAGAGCCTGTACTTGCTGTCGGTGTTTGTGTCATGTGAAGGGCACTGTCAGCAGGTCATACATTGCCCCTTGTCCCCTCCTCTGCTGGAGGGCTGTGGGTGCTGCCCAGCCTGGCCTTGCCTTCCCCTCATCCTTGGTTGCCTTCCCTCTTTGTTTCCTTAGTGGCTTTGCCTGGAAGATGATTCCTGATTTCTCAGAGGGCTCCTGCTTGTCTTTCTCCACCCTCCTTTGGATGGATCTGCCCCCCTGGAGAAATCCTGCTGTTAGCAGGACATTTGGGCTGCTGTGTCAGAGTGGCAGGATGCACTGCCAGTGCAACCTGCTAAATTACCTGCTAGAATTATCTGTAATAAAATAATACACGTGGAGGCTATTAACTAGATAGAAAAGAACATTATGGGATAATTTTCTTCCTTAATTTCCCTTCTTGCCATGCAGAAGTATGTGCCATTTAAAAATAGCCAGCTGTACAAATTAAGCCTCATAGAAGGATAATCAGATAAAATGTCTTGACCAGTACTGAGGAGCAGTGGAAGTCTGGTATAAGAATAAAATGGCCTTTCTAAATCGTTAAAATAGGCAGAGTTGCTAACACTGTTCTCATGATATTTCTCCTTGTGAGCCAAATCTGCTCTCCATGTCTGCTCAGACCTGACACATTTAGTTTTGCATGTGGGCAAACCCCAAAACAGTTACAGGGCTGTAGTGCCCAGACTTTTTGGCTTTTTTTCTGATGCATCTTGCCTAAGAGTCGCCCAACCACTGTTCACGGGAGAGCTTGGGTTACCTGCAAACACTCCTTGGAGAAGAGAGGAACTGAGCAGAGGAATCTCCAGTGGAGACCAACCAGTGGGTGTCCAAAGGAAGGGAATTCCAGGAGATGAATCCAGCTGCCCTGTGACAGTGCTTTGCTGGCAGAGGAAGCAACACGGGGGTGGGAAGAGCTACCCATGTTCAGCACAGATGGTTCTTGTGTGCTGCTGCTTTCCTCTCTGTCAGTGGAGCAGGAGAGGCACCCAGCAGAGGGACAACTCATGCTGAATTTTTTGATTCTTCTTTGGAAAACTCCCAGGTCATTTAGCCCCCTGCCCACGAGGCACAGGTGAAAAGATAGTTGCAGTTATAGGGTGTTTAACTAACTTGAGCCTAGGATTTCACTGGTTGTACAGCAATTGTTTGTTTTATTTTTCAAAAAAGTAAAATGTGATCTGATTAACCACTGCACTCTGACATTCCTGCATTCCTAGTCATAGGTAATTTTTCCTTCAAATGGACCAGAAATGAATTTATTTTCAATGATCTCTATTCAAGCCTATTTTCCTTATGTAGCACTGAGGTCAGGATCATGCCCTGATTTAGTACTAAGAACCTGAGTGTCTATGGCCCAGCATATATTTTTCTTCAGTGAGCAATTCTGGTTTTTATGAGTCTGTTTTTCATAGTGGAGACTTGAACTTTTGCATTATGAGTAATGCTCCAAAAGGAAACAGGATCATAAAAAGCTCAGCATAGGCACAACCCTTTATGGATCTGAGATGCAAATAACTGGAGATACCATGGCTTGCTACATTATTTTTCCCCAATTTCCATGTCTATATTTGCTACATTGTTTGCCGAAATATGGTTTAAGTGTTGGTGAACCATTCAACTTGCAAATATCAGCTCCATAAAAACCAGTGATGAATTCTGTCAACTCTCTCTGCCCTGAAGGTCCATAAGGAAAAATTTAGAAGCACAACAAATAAAAATTATGTATAGCAAGTAGATGAGGCCTAATTACATTTTTAGTTAACAAAAATGCTTGTATTAATTTTGCCTTTAAACCAATATTATAATACTGACCTGAATGGCTGCTGTCCAGTAATTGCAAGTCTGTGTGGATTCAGCAGTGCCAAAAACCTCACTTTGTCTTTCAAGCATTTTAGAGTGGGAATCCTTTTAAAACTGGTATGAGGCCTTTCTGTATTTCTGTTTAAAAACCTACTTCTTTGTGCATTGGCTTTGGAAAAGAGAGAGCATGTGAGATGACTCATAATCATTGAAGAGGGATTTCCTGGTGCCACAGTTCCATTTTACTGACCTTAATTTGCAGTTTGGAAACCAAATAGCTCCATTTTGAGCTGACAGCTCTCCATAACAGATCTGTTACTTAGAGATTAACTATTTGAGCCACAAAAACTTCATGAAAACAGTGCCACGTCTACTTGGCTATTGCACAAAGCCCATATGGCATAGTCACTGTGTGTGTTTGCATGTTCACTGTCCTGTCTAAAAATGCAGCACCCATTGCAACTTGGAAGAGAAAAAACTAATAAGATTCAAAAAAGAGTGCAGTAAATGGGATTTTTAAAAGGTTTAATCAAGAGAAAAAGCATTTTGTTTCCCAAATAGTGTTTTTCAAGATTAGAAATGCAGCTAAATAAGCAGATCATTGTACATTACTTGACCTAAGCACTGGCAGAGGGGCTTTTTTATTCAACATTTTTTACCTCTCTGTATCATAGCTGCAAAACACCAGGCAAGCATTGGCCCAGCAAATTATTTCAAAAGCATTAAGCTGGTCATTTGCTGCATAAACTTCCCTCTCTGGAGAGTATCTCGGGAAGAGCTGCCAGACTGGAAGAGAAATGCTTCATCTAGCTGAGTGTAATCAACATTAGGAGTGTGAGTAAATTGAATCAGAGTGGGGGAGAGGGGCTTTTGTCTGGCTGTGAGATGCTAGAAGATGACATCCACCCTGCCTAAATTCAGATGAGCTGCCCTGTGTGTGCAATGTGCCAGTGTAGAAATCCCTTTGTAGAAGAGCACTGTGTTTTATCCTCTCTCTGTCCCTTGCTGTGCAGAGATGCTGTTGTGCATATTGAGGCCATTTAGTCCTGCTCCCTGCAGAGGAATGCAGATGCACATTCTTCTGTAAGCACTCAGCTTCCCTGCCAGTCCTTTCCTCTGCTCTGGTGCTCATGAAAATCCTCAGCTCTTTGCCCTGCTCCTCTTACAAAGGTGTTTCTATTCTCTGGGCAGCTCTTCTGAGCACAGCCTGAAAATCTCTGGAGGTGAAGCGTGTTCCTCCTCACTGTCTGCATTCCACCATGTGGGGATAGGAAACATCTGCCCCTATCTTATCTGGAGAATAAAATGTTTTTAGTGTAGCAAGGCTTTTGGGATCTGTACCCACTCCTCACGTGCTGCTGCCTGCTCTCTAGCTTCACCCAGCGGGTGGAGATCCTTGTCCCACAGCAGGGATGACCAAGGATGACATGGCTGTAAGCAAGGATTGGCTCATGGATGGAGCTCTCAGTGCTGGTGTGGACATGGCTCAGCTGATGGTAAAAGCTTCTGAGCTGAACTGATTCAGGAAGTTCAGTTCTGGCCCCTCAGTTTGGGAAGGACATTGAGATGCTTGAGTGTGTCCAGAGGGGGCAGTGAGGCTGGTGAGGGGCTGAACACAAACCCTGTAAGGAATGACTGAGGGAGCTGGGGGTGTTCAGCCTGGAGAAAAGGAGACTCAGGGTTGACCTCATCACTCTGCACAACTCCCTGAAAGGTGGCTGTGCTCAGGTGGGGTTGGTCTCTTTCCCCAGGCAGCACTGACAGAACCAGAGGACAGAGTCTGAGTCTGCACCAAGAGAAATACAGGTTGGATATTAAGAAAAAGTTTTTCACAGAAAGAGTGATAAAGTACTGGATTGGTCTGCCCAGGGAGGTGGAGGAGTCACCATCCCTGGATGTGTTTAAAAAAAGAGTGGATGTGGCACTCAGTGCCATGTTTTAGTTAGAGGTGTTAGGGATGGGTTGGACTCCATGATCTTGAAGGTCTCTTCCAACCTGGTCATTCTGTGATTCTGTGAGTAAGCTGATCTGTGTTTTTGCATGCGGATCTGAGGGCCTAGCCTGTACTGAGGGGTGAGGTCATGGGAGCAGGAAGTATGGATGGAATCAAATAAAAGAAGGAAATGTTCTCATTTTCAGCACATCTAAAGAATATCTACTGTATGTTGGAGGAAATTCAGGGCACCCAGGCAGACTGTTAGCCATCGGTCTTCTTTGGCCCTTCGAGTTCTTTTTTGACTGTTTTAACAAGGTGTTGAAACTGAGGACAAGGATATAATGCTGCAACAGCTGCTGGGAGTGGAAGAAATTTTTATTTCTTGTACTGGCTGCTTGGTGAAGAATCCTTTTTCAGCTTCATCCTTCTACCTGAGCTTAGCGAGGAGTGAGACATGCAGTAGCTAACTGGAGCAGGAACAGGGTCCATCTCTTCCTTCTGGGACTGTCAGCTCACACCTGGAGCACTACTGTGACCTGGAGCAGTTAATTGGTTAAGGGCAATTCCACAAGGTATGATTTTGATGAGCAAGCAGGATTCAAACCCCTACACAAGTCCGGAGTGCATTTTGACTGAGTCTCCTTAATAGATGTTGCCATCTCCTGATGTTCATTGTGGTTTTAAATGCTCTGGGAGCAACGGCTTTTCCCTGCATCTGGAGGCATTGAATTTTTCTGGGGGTTGAGTCATGTATTTACTGGGGGTTAAGACTGACCTAGGGGAAGTTACTGGAGGACTATTAACCTGGGGTAAGTTGTTGAAACCCACTAATTATTCACACACCTAAACCTTGAGATGTTTATTCTCTGTTGGCACTGAGAAGGAGCCCTTACTGTAACTGCAGATACACCCAATATCATGCTCTGGTCCAGGTACAGGCAGTGGTAAAATGTGAGCCAGATCTGTGCTCAGTGTTTACCCAGGTATGGACACCCTCACCTCCTCAGAGGGCACCACACAGTGTACAAACAGGTACACCGTGGTTGCAGGTCTCTTCCTGGAGGTGTAACTCTTGCCCCCAGAGGACAGCCCCTCAGGTTTAAGGATTTCAGGGCTTTATTTTATCTTCCTGCTGCTGGGATTAGTTGCAAAACTCCAGGTTAGCCCTAAATGCCTAAAAATGATTTTCTAAAAATGGTGGCAGAACCCAGATCTGTGCCCAGTGTGACTGTGGGGGCATGAGAAAGTGGGAGCAAGAAGAAGAAGGACCGACCTAATTTCCAGCTCTGCTGTCACAGCTTCCACCTACTGGAATCATCCGAGAAGAGTGTAGAGAAGATTGAAATACAGTTTTGGAGGCTTTTTGTCCTCCCTGAGGGGGGTTGAGTGTGTCCTTGGGCATGGCTAGCCTGTACCCTTCAGTGATTCAGAGGTAAAAATATAGCTGCTCTCTCCCACATGCTTGCATTAATTTTTGGCAGCACCAGGCTCTGCCCACAGCACCACACATTCTTCTGCTTGATGTGAGGAACAGGGTGCTTTCCAGGGCTGCTTTGCCATGGTGGGTGTTGACAGATAAGCAGTGGTGAATCTCATGCCTGGCTGGTGTCTTTGCCCACCTTTTGGAAATTCTCACCCTTTCCCCCACATGGAAAATGCACCGGCAGCTGCAGCGAGGACTTGGGAAGCTCAGCTCACCCTCTCCCCAGCAGGGAGCACAAGCTTTCCCTCTAGGAGAACCTGAGGAATTTTTTTTTTTTTTTTTTTTACTGTTGGTTCTGTGTGGAAAGGTTATGTAGGAAGGAATTCTTGACAGGACATCTTGTGCACACGGATTTCTTGTCACACAAGACGTTCACGTGGCAGCAGGATTTTTGCCCTGGTGTGAACATTTGGGATGTGAGAGTTCCTGTCACGGGGCTCTTGACCCTTCTTGGTAACATGGAGCTGGTGCTCACGGGGCACAGGTGACCGGGAGTGGGGTGGCAGAGGTGGCTGATAACCAGAGATGCCTGAGGTCCTTCCAGGAGGACTTATCTGATAGGAATGAGAGGAGCAGTAGAACGACACTCACAGGGGCCTCTGGCTGAGTCATTAGAGAGCATTTCAGTCTTCCTACACCAGCTGGGCAGGAGAAGCTGGGAGGGCTGAGGGCTGTGCACAGCCTGAAGTTGGGTTGGAAACGCTTGATGTGGAGATGATTGTGGGAAGGGAGTCTCTCTGCTGGACAAGGCTCAGGGAGGATAAAAGCAGCCCAGGAGAAGCCACTGAGACAATGTGTCAGCCCTTGATCTGGAGATGCCTTCATGGACAGGGTGCCAGCTGCAAGAACTGTGTTTGCTGCCTGGCAGAGGGGAAGTCTAGGGAAGGATGGAAGCTGCTGGAATGAAGAAATCCCAAACACACAAGGGCTGCGTCGTGTTTTGGTGCTGGGAGAACCGGTGGGGAGGGTGAGCCGACTCCACCTGAGGATGCTGGGGGTTTGTTCTGCATGGTCTGACTGAAATGCTCCCTGTTAAACACCTGAGAGGGTGCCCGGTGGGGCTGCAGAGGGAAACGCAGGTGGAGGCCATGTGGTGTGACCCGGGTGTGGGAATTGCACTGCCCAGTTCTGCAATCAGGGGCCTCGCAGGAGAGCTGCGGGGGAGGGACAGTCTGCAAGCTCTTACTTTGAGACAAGGAGCACAGCTCCCCAAATGTGTCTAAGGTCTAGAAATTCCTCCCCTTACTGACTCATTTGAGACCAGAATGCTTAAAATAAGTCAGAAATCAAGCTTACTCATAAATCAATTAAAAAAAGCGCCATATTTACACATCCAAATAAGCTTTTAAGGACGCCTCTGGGTTGGCAACCAGTTTTTCTGCAAACTAAGCCACTTGTTTAAGTGGTTAAGAGTGACTTAAACAACAAACCTTCAAGAACCACATCTGACAACCTTTGCCAGAAAGAACTGGCTATGAATCCTGCCTCATCCACACAAATGGCCTTTTGAAAGCAGAAGGCAGCTTTACTTCCCCGTTACTCCATGGAGCCAACATACTGTTTGACAAGCTGGAAGCCAGCTGGATAAATGAGAAATATTGCTATGCATTCTTAGAGAGTCTGTGCCTGAATTAGCTGAGCCAGAGCAGCCCTCTCGCCTGTGCTGCCTATGGAAAAACAAAGATTGCTCTGCCTGTGGGGTTTCCCTGAGTAGCTGCACCAAGGCACCCACATGGAAAAAGGGAGACGGCGCTTTCAGAAAGGGTGTTTTCAAATTAATGACTGAAAAGTACAAAAGCAGCTGTTCCATAGCAATAACGTGAGGAAGGAAGAAGCTGCTTGGATGTATTTAGAGACACAAAAAACCAGATGAGCAGATCGGTCTGCTCCATTGCTGTAAAGTAATTTTCTGTTTTCACTGAACTGATGTCAGGAGATTGTTTCAAACAAATAAGTAACATAATTGAAAGACAATGAATATAGATAGAGAGAATGTAGATTTGTCCAGAAAATACAGGTAGTTATTCTGCGGTAATTCTACACACCCCCCTTCTTTCAGCAGAATAAGCTTAAAATTCAAGCCCCACAGGACATTTTCTCCTGAGGAATGAGTCCTCCCGGCTAATCCCCAAGTGATTTAAATGCACATAAGTAAATACCCACACGATAAATTACCGGCAACGATCATGTCGTTTTCCTCCGCAGGCAGAATCACCCCTTTAGCCACAGCAGCCCCCACGCACCCACATACCTGCTCCAGAGCCCAGTCCCGGCGGCGCCGCTCTCCTCCTCGCCCTGCTGGCTATCCCAAGCCACGCCGCGGCTGGGAAGCTCCCGCTCATCCTGGGAACCTGGGGCTCCCTCCCGGGCTGCAGCCGCCTCTGTCCTGCTGCTGCCGGAGGGCAGGGCCGGGCAGCCCCGGGAGCGCCCTGCGGGGCCGGCAGCACCGCGGACAGCGCCGGGACGCGGCGGGGACCCCGGGGGGACAGGCGAGGCCCGGGCTGGGCCGCCCCCGGCCCGCGGCGGGCCCGGCTGCCGGCGCTGACGTGCCCGTTGCCATGGCGAGCGCGGCGGCGGGAGGGGATGCTTCTCTGCCGCCATGGTCGCCATGGGACCCCGCCGGCTGGAGGGAAAGGGGCGCGTGAATAACAGGAGGGAGGTGCGGAGAATATTTAACTAGTTTCCTCCGGGAATTTGCGCCTTCTTTCTTTTTTTTTTTCTTTTTTTTTTTTTTAAATTATTATTAATTTTTAATTCCCATGTGGATACTGAAACTCCGACAGCCTGATTCATTCCCTTGCCTTGCCCCCAATTCAAAATTCGGCACTTTTGTGATTTTGTGCCTTCTTTCTTTTATTTTTTTTTAATTTTCTTTTTTTAATTTTAAATTCCCATGTGGATATTGAAACTCCAACAGCCTGGTTCACTCCCTTGTCTTGCCCCCGATTTAAAATTTGTCACCTTTGTGAATCTGTGCCTTTCTTTCTTTCTTTCTTTCTTTTTTTTTAATTATTATTAATTTTTAATTCCCATGTGGATATTGAAAGTCACACAGCGTGGTTCATTCTTTTGCTTTGCTCCCGATTAAAATTCGGCACCTTTGTGAATTTGTGCCTTCTTTCTTTTTTTCTTTTTTTTTAAATTATTATTAATTTTTAATTCCCATGTGGATATTGAAACTCAGACAGCCTGATTCATTCCCTTGTCTTGCCCCCAATTTAAAATTCGGCACCTTCGTGAATTTGTGCCTTCTTTCTTTTTTTTTTATTTTTTTTTAATTTTAAATTCTCATGTGGATATTGAAAGTCACACAGTGTGGTTCATTCTTTTGCTTTGCTCCTGATTAAAATTTGGCACCTTTGTGATTTTATGCCTTCTTTCTTTATTTTATTTTATCTTATTTTTTTTAATTCCCATGTGGGTATTGAAACTCCAACAGCCTGGTTCACTCCCTTGTCTTGCCCCCAATTTAAAATTCGGCACCTTCGTGAATTTGTGCCTTCTTTCTTTTTTTTTTATTGTATTTTTTTTTAATTCCCATGTGGATATTGAAACTCAGACAGCCTGGTTCATTCCCTTGCCTTGCCTCCAATTTAAAATTTGGCACCTTTGTGAATTTGTGCCTTTCTTTCTTTCTTTCTTTCTTTCTTTCTTTCTTTCTTTCTTTCTTTCTTTCTTTCTTTCTTTCTTTCTTTCTTTGTGAATTTGTGCCTTTCTTTCTTTCTTTCTTTCTTTCTTTCTTTCTTTCTTTCTTTCTTTCTTTCTTTCCCTTTCTTTCTCTTTCTTCCCATGTGGATATTGAAACTCAGATAGCCTGATTCATTCCCTTGCCTTGCCCCTGATTTAAAATTTGGCACCTTTGTGTTTTGTGCCTTCTTTCTTCTTTTTTTTTTTATTTTTTAAATGTTTTAAATTTTTTTTTAATTCCCATGTGGATACTGAAACTCAGACAGCCTGGTTCATTCCCTTGCCTTGCCCCCGATTTGAAATTCGGCACCTTTTTACTTTTTGGGGAATGGCACCAGCACAATTTCCTTATGTTCTCTGTCACGTGCACTTTATTAAATGAGTTGGGATAATAACAATCCCCCCCGAATCTTAATCAGCCCTCTCTCACAAATGTCTTTTCTGCAGTATTACAACAGCTCCATAAATTGTATTTCACTGCAAGTTTGAGGAAGGAAGGGATCATTTTAGTCCTGGCAAACTTTCTGCCTGTGAACTAAGCAAGAAATTTGTTTGGAGTATGGATTTATATTATTTTGGGATTTCTGACTTGAAATGCATTGGTAAACTGAGCCAATAAAGGCTGGGTGTTCTCCTTTGTTTTCCCTCAATTTTCAGTGGAGAACTCCAAGTATATTTTTATAATTGTTTTTACTAGATGTCTTTAGTGGAGAAAAAGTGCAGGTTTTTTTATTGAAAAAGATTATCAAGGAAGAAATAATCAATGTGGTTTTTCTCCCCACTAATTGCAGAGGCATAGTTCAGTTTCCTATATTTTACACTTTTAAGATACACTACTAACAGTGGAGTGGGCACCCTGGAAATCAGGTCCGGGTGCCCACTCCTGGAAATAGACTGGACTAGAAATAGGTAAGGTGTGGGCAGATTTTTTTACTGAATGACATAGAGAGTATCAACAAGAATTGTCTGTTCATCTTCCAGTGGAAGAATTTGGAAGGGAGCACCAGATGAAGGGACCTGGCTCAGAACACAAAGAAGGGGAGTAGAGGGGAGCTCCTCAAAGTGTGGGTGCAGCCTCCTGGGGTTCCTTGCGAAAGGATGGTGTGGGTGCAGAATTTCACGTGAGATTGAGGAGAGATTGAACAAATATTAGGAAAAATGCTAAATAGAACTGAAATCTCTAAACTAATAAAACATATTGCTTTCTGAAAATCATCTGAGCTCAGTGCACTGGGGGTTGGGAAAACTCCTGGAGAAAGGTTTGTACTGGTCCAGTGAAACATATTTTATAAAAAAACCCAATAGTTTTATGAAGGAGCTGGGAGTGTGACTTTTTAAATACACCCACAATATGCCTTTGCCCTCTTAGAGAGTGACAATAGTGATGGCAGCTTGGCTGTACACCAGCTTCATTACCAGGTACTCCACACAGTGTTCTTCAAAGTTTGGTGGGTTTTTTCACAGCAAGTTAAGTTGTATGTTTGGGTTTTTTGGGGGTTTTGGTTTTTTTCTCTTTTTCTCCCTGTGACTGTCAGTGTTAGAGGAAGACAATCTTAATTTTTGCCTACTTTCCAGCTTGGTTTTCCTGATAGTGCAGGAGGGTAGAGGAAAGTTGTCTGACATCTGTGTTGAGGAAGTGTTTCCCAGGGAGATGGAAGATGCTTGACTGACTCACACCTCAGTTCCTCCAGTTCAGGGGTGCAAACTTTGGCAGTTGTAAATGCACCATGTTTTGAAAGAAAACAACCCTGACTGTTGTTTTGGGGTTCACTTTCTCCTACTTGCCCACAGACATTAATACGACGGCTTGAAGTATTTAGTGATATTAGGTTTTCATGATCTTTGCTTACATTATCTTCTCCAGTGGCTGTTGGATCAGTCAAGCCTTTATAAAATTCCCAAACCACCCCTGTTATTCCAAACCTGATGTCTGTTGTTGCCAGAGCCACTGTTGCTGTTGATTATTTTGGAACTGCTTTTGCAGGGCAAAGTAATTTTCATTCAGCATTGACCTGATTTTATTCTGTGGGCATTTTTTGACCAATCCTGGAAGTAACCATCAGATTTTTTTTGTGACACCTGTCACATTCCTGGTATTAAGGAAGCTTTTATTCCTGCCAATGAATCCAGAGACAAACCCAGAGAGAGATGTCAAGTACCTCAGCTGACACTTGACAAGTGACAGAAGGGTTCACCACCAGAAAGTTTGCTGTGGGGAGAGGGAGCAGAGAAATAAACCCTGTGAAGGGATGAGAGATAATAGGTGGAAATTAAAATGTATGGAGTGTTGTGCCTTCCATGTATTGGGTTCATTATGGCTGAGTTACTCCCTGGGGTGCAGCTCCACGTGGAGTCTGTGTTTGCAGGGGCAGGCAGGGGGAAATCATTGTCATTTTTGCACAGGGCTGGACTCTGGTCTGGCCTTGGTGGTCCTTATGGGCCCCTTCCATCTCAGATATTCTGTCATTCTGGGTTTTCCCTTTTGTTCAGGGGGATCAGGCTCTAGGGCTTGGTACCCCGAGGTCACCAGCCCTGGGGGGCTAGAGGTAGCTCTGGGGTTCCACCAGGAGAAGTCTGTCTTAAATTCCTGCCTCTGTGGGTGCCCCGTGGTTCTGGATCCATCCTTTAACATCTCTGGGCCAAAGTCTGATCAGGAGAATCTGCCCTGGGTTGAGGTGAAGCTGTTGCCCACTGAAGCCCCATAAAGCCCAGCCTGTTACTGGTTAAACACATCTCCACTGGTTGTCCTGGGGCTGAATTTGGCTCAGAGCCTCGAGAACTTGGACCAGTGCATGAATGACTCCAGGTTCTCTAAGAATGCTGCATTTCAGCCTGGTTTTGTCTCAGGCATGAACAAGGATCCCTCAGTGTGAACTGTGCCACTAAAGGGGAGCCCACCAAGAGCAGGGCTTTTTGTTTTGTTGTTTTCACCTGTTTAAATCCCAACAGGGGTTCAAAGAGAAGGAAGAAATGCCCCACAGCTGAGCTAAAACCATCTTTTCTTAGCTGTGCTCAGACTCCTCTAAGGTCTGACCTTGCCCCTCTGGGGTCTGAGCACAGACATGTGAAAAGAAAGTGAAATTCTGAGGTAACAAGCTCTGGGAGCACCTTGCATGAGCTTGGTGTGGAAAATAGCAACTTGCCTGGAGGAAATATGACTCATTCTCACTGGTGTTTGGGAAAGTAGGGGGATGTCTAGGTTTCTGTTCAATTAAAGCTTGCTATGAGCTCGCTTACTTTGCCTCCTCCCCAAGCATTGCATGCAAAGCAGGAGTCACTGGCCCTTGGAGTGAATATAGTGCACTGTGCATCCTGATGGATGTCATTCCATGTGACCCACATGCACAGAGAGCAGCTGGGATGAGTCAGATCTCTGTGGCTGAGGCTGCCACAGCTCCTGCATTCTGGAATTCAATGCATGTGTTTGAACAGAGCAGGACTGATGTCGAACCATTCATTGCAAAGCAGCAGCAAGATCCGTAGCAACTTTACAGAGGAACTCATTCCCTGGAGACATTGATCCCTTGCCTCTGATTCAGAGAGAGTTTCCAATCATGTGGTGAAGTCAAAGCCAGGTCAAGAGGCTGAGGACAGAAAGGATTGCTGCCAATGCCAGCCAGGGAATCCTAAACAGGGAGGGAGCCATGGCATCAGAAGGAGCTATGAACAAGCACAAGAAACAGGGATAATCCAGTGTTAAGGAAAACAGAGTCACGATTTATTATTTCTGTACACACTCTTGGCTGAACATGACTGATTTGATTGTTGGGGTGGCTACCTCAACCCAGCAGAACAAAATCTGTTCTTCTTTCCTGATAGGGCCATAGAACCCAGGATGGCCCAGATGTGGTCAGTGTAGTTTGAGAGCCTTGTGTAGAACAGAGCTGGGGATGTGAGCTTGCCTTAAACCAAACCAAAGC